GGGGGGCAGATCAAGGCCCCCCACAGTGAGGGAGGGGCTGGGGCAAGTTGCTAGTCTGGTGGCTCCTGCCACTTGTCAGGGAGGGCAGGGGGCAGGGGACTTGTGCCCCTGGATCTGCATGGGGTGGGTGGGGCCGGGGCTGGGCTGGGAATGGAGGCTATGACCTCCTACCACTTGCCCGGGTGAGGCAGGCGCGGGATGGGGCTGCTGTGCTGCCGTCCCAATGTTGCATGTGTAATGTGCCATAAGATAGTAATCATTGTATACTACACATACAGCATACTTGCTCTTCACAGTGAGACAGAGGGTCAGTGCTACACTGTACTGTACAATTCTGTCCTTCCACTGCTGTGACTGAGTATTGAATGATTTACACTAACACATGTCCCAGGGGAAGGATGACTGTAAGATTGTGCAAGATAAAATTTAACTGAGTTGCCAAGCAGCAGTCAAGGAAGATTAGGTCTTCATCAGAATATCTTTGTTGTTTATATGATAAATTTAGAGTTCACCTATATCAAGGTCTTTGTATTTCATTTATATGGTAGCTTTGAAAATGCTCTTGAGTTTTAGAGCATATACACAATATGTCAGCATTGAATAGCCACTGTGTTCCAGATGGTGTGCTTTTGTTAATGTTGTCAGTTTAGTTCTCAATATACTTTTTGCACAAAAATCAAAGAACTAGCCATTGCTAGTGTGTATGCACTGCTGCTTCCTGCTGGATGCAATGTCAGACCCTTTCAGCTGTGAGAGAGAAATGATGTTACTGGCTGAAGGCCAAGAGAGAATATTGTCTCAAATGACCAGGGGACAGTAGACACAGAACTGAGGATTCCATGAGAAAATTCCTCCAAATCCTGCAAGTTCTGGTTGGTACCTAGTATTACATTTATATTGGTTTTAGCATCACATGTGGAAATAAAAGAGCACCTGCACTACTGCTATGAGCAATAACTGTGTTTGTCATACTAAGCAATCATCTTGGAACAGACTTCATCCCCAAGTCCAAGTCTATCGATGGATCTTGGAAAGAGGGCACAAGACTTATTGGACTGTGGACTCAAATAAAAATGAATGGAGAACCTTGTTGATGCTGTATATGGGGGAACAGTGATTGCTATTGACAGGCAACTGAATCTGAAGATTGCTATGCAAGTAAAAGGTATGTGTCCTGGTGGTATTCTTTTGGACATTTCCTGATTATTTGAACTTGAGATCTCTCGTGTTTATGGCTATTACAGTCAACATAATGGTGTTGTACTTCATATATAGTGGTACTGGAAAAACCTTGTCCATTTAACTTTTGATGGCAACAGTTACTTCAGCTTCTACAGTATTCCTTTATGTTCTAGGTTGCCATAGGAAATGTCTTATTCAAGCTAATAAATAAGTAAGAAGATAGGGAACGGCAGACTTTATTTAACACTAGTAACTGATTTTATTTATTTTTTATAGTCTCTAAGTTGCATCTCTACTTTGCCTTCTGCTTGGCTTTGGATTGTAACAGAGAGCCCTGGGCTCCCTGTTACTTTACGATAAAGGCAGCGCAGCCAGGGAGCACTGCAGGGCAGGCAGGGTACAGTAGCTGCCAGGTGCCAGGGCAGGCAACAAGGCAAAATGAGGCAGTCAGCAGACAGCTGCAAGCAGTCAGTGCAGGCAGGGCCCTGGGAGCGTATAAGCCCAAGGCTGGGGCTGGCAGGGGAGTCTTTCCTTGACTGCTACAGGGGAAGGAGCTCCTGCCTAGGGGAGCCACCCAGGGATGCTGGGCTGACGGTTTTGCTGCCTACAGGAACAAGGAGGCTCAGGGAACTTGCAAGGTACCCTGGCTAGGAGGCACGCTATTCTAGGGGTAAAGGTATGCCCTCTTAAAAGGACAGAGGGCTGCTACTTCGTTGTTTGATATAGCCAGGGGCTTATGATTTAAGTTACTGTTTCTACCAGTGGTTTGGGATGAGGCTGGAAGGGGAGGTATGGAGGCCTCATTAGTGCCCAGGGGGTACTCGACTGCCTTGAGCCCTGCCGGGGGCACGCTCAAAGCCCAAGCAGTTATTGAGCTGAGAGAGGGTGCAGCCATACAGGGGCCAGGGGCCCGGTGCCATAGAGGGCGCAGCTACACAGGCCAGAGGCCCGGCAGGTGGGGGCCTGGGTCCCAGTGACAGAAGGGGCAAACAGAGCTAGAGCCTCAAAGCCAGATCCGTCCAGTGAGCCCAGCCTAGAAGGCCTAGCGAGACTAAAAGGGGCAGAGGCTGAGGGGTCCAAGGCCCCACAGAGGGAACATTTCTATAACACCATGAGGCACAGGGCATGATAAAGGGGAGGATTTGGAGCCACACAATTGGCTCTTAGGGCTTTGGGTGCCTCCCTGGGCACAGTGGGTTGTAGCGGCCTCGCCAAGGGCCTAAGGACCAGTGAAGCCCAGCAAGGGGCCTGGGTGCAGGCAGAGACCGTCAGGGTCTAGTGGGATTGAGGCTTAGTGAAACCCCTGTGTATTACAAATTAATATCAAGGCGAGACCGGAAGGTGCCCTACACAGAGCAGGGCACAGTTGCAGAGCCACCAGGGGGTGTCACAGCCACCCCTGGGATTTGGACATGTTACATAGACTAACATGCCTAATTACCTCTCTCTGCTCACTGTAGCTATGTAACACAAAGGATGGAGAACAGTCTGCAACAAGGGCAGCTGAGGTAGCTGCCGTTTTGTGATTCATCTTTCATGCAGAGTGTTTGTGAGCTAGTGTGCTCTTCTGGCTCAGAGAGATTTTATCTTTGCTTGTCCAGTGTTTTTTTTTTTCCTTTTCTTTTGGGTGCAAATGGAGTAGAGTGAAAAATATATACTTGGCTGCTTATGTGTGAGAAAACATAGCACCCTTCATCCCCTGTTCTTTTCACCCAGGACCTATCCTGTAAGACTGATGTCACTTTATGGGGCAAGGCTTCTTTATATTTTTAAAAATAAGAGATTGGACTCTCACTCTCTTGCATTACTTGACCCTTGACCTTATTCTGTACCTAGCTGATGTGTACTGAAAGTGCGACTAGTGAGAACTATTCAGTTCTATGAAAAAAAAAACCTTTAAAAAATTTGCTTTTGTTTTGATCAGGAATGGGAGAAAGGAACAAACAGCCACCCCTCTTTACCTAAAGTAATCAATAGGTTAGTGGTTAGGGCACTTGCCTGGGATAGTGGAGACAAGTTTGTATTGCTTCTACTGTGCATAAATTATTTAATAGAGAGAGGGACCAACTCTACAGCCCAATAACTAGCACACCAATCTGGGCAATGGGAGACCCAAGCTGAAATCTGTGCTCTGCTTAATTTTGAGGCAGGCTGGTTCCATAGCCACCAGGCTACTGGTTGTACTGACACCTAACACCCTTCCTAAAGACCTCTGAAGTTTTGGCAAAATGGTATTTTCTGACTGAAAATTGTTTTATTCAAAATTTGTGGACCTTGTCTAATCTATTGCTACTTCTACTGAATCTATAGCATTATTTCATCACTCTCTTTCTAACTTACTTCTTATATTCCTTAGACTACAATTTTTCTTTTTTAGCTAATCATCCCAGAAATAGTCCCTCAATACAGCTATAAGGGTTTCTTTCATCAAAGTTTTATTGACGTTCCCATTGACAGCATCTTTGTAAAGTTGTATTGGAGTCTATTGTGCAACAAGGAATTGTTAGAAACACTTCAGTGAAAGGACTATAGTAAAAGATCCACTAGTAGAAGTCTATAATTTGGCAATGTTTAAATTACTAGTTTTTAGACCACTCAGCAGAAAGCAACTGTGGAACAACAGCAAGACAAGCAAGTGAGCAGGAGTCATGAAAACATTCTGCTTTCTATAAATTTGCAAAAATGCTTCCTATTGCAATGTTTTGCATGCAAAGATTTCAGACTCTCTTGATTTTATGAAAGTTCAGTCATCAAGGCAGACTACCAAGGGCTCCCTATTGTATTATCTTATCTATGAAAGCTTCAGTGATCTAAAACTAAAAAGAATTAATGCTGATGCCAAGTACCATGATCAATTTAATAACTTGACAGTAAATGCTGTTTAAGCACTAGATGTCAGTAGTGCTTTAGCTATTAACTGTACCATATGCTGCAGACTCTGCTGCTAACCTTATTGTATATTCTCTAAAACAAGGTCAAATATGTGGTCTTTCAAACAGATATTTTTCTTTTATTCTTCAGTCTCTGGCAAATATATTTTTTAGCTCACTGATGACTTGCAAAATAAATGACGTATTTAGTGACATTTCAATAGATTCTTGAGAGATTTGTTTCTTATTTATTTTTACTAGGTAAATGATTCTGGCTGCTGAAGACAAATTAAAACTGGATTTGCAGTACTGAAAATACCTAATGAAGATCAACATGAAGGTTCAGTAAGCGTTTTAAACCATTCTAAATAAGAGGTATATCTGAAAAACAGTAATCCCTATAAGCCCTGATTTACCAAAACACTCTAAACCAAAGCTTCTACCAGAAGAATGCTTTAATAAAATGTTCTTTATTATGCTGTAGGAAAACAGACATTGAAAGCAGTAGCGTAGTTGACTGGAGGGTTATTGACATTTAAGATTCTCTCCTTTCTTTAGAACTATATAGATTCTTAAGAGGGGACACGATAGTTTTCAGGGCCTGAAGGGCTGCCACAAAAAAAAAGGAAAACACCTTTTCTCTCTTGCTGCAGAGAGCAGGAAATGGACTAACGGCTTGAAACTGCAACAAAGGAGGTTTAGTTGGATATCAGGAAAAACTTCCTTACTGTTACAACAGTAGAAAAGACTGTCTAGGTCAGAGTTTCACAACCTTTTTATGCCACGGCCCGGCAAACTGCGAACCGGAAGCAGCTGCGGCCCAGCACACTGTGGACTGGAAGTGGCTGTGGCCTAGCAAACTGTGGACCGGAAGTGGCTGCAGTCCAGCAAACTGTGGACCACACCGCGGAGCCCCGTGGGTGGAATTTCTGGTCGGAACGCAGGTAAAGCTAGTTCCACCCCCCGGGGGCAAACTGCTGCCCTGGGCTCTGCGGGAGGAGTCGCAGCCTCTCTACCTGGCTCTGCGGGGCTGCGGTTTGCTGGTCTATGGTCATTTCCAGTCTGGCAGCCGACCATCTTGCAGACCAGCAGCTGACCCTTTGTGGCCTGGCACCAGGCCGTGGCCCAGGGGTTAGGAACCCCTGGTCTAGGGACTTTCCATAACTGGAGGTGTCCAAGAAGAGCTTGGTAAAGTTGCTAAAATGCTGTAAAGCATCAGGGTGATCTAGGCATAGCTCTGCCTACGTTCTTTTATGCTTTGGATAATTCCCATGATTCTCAGCTTTGGCTGTAGCATGGGGCTGGGAGGAATTTTTAAATTTTTTTTTATCTCTTGCTGCTACACATCAAGTTTTTCTTTATTTTTTATTTATTTTTTTTAAGCTTTTCTTGGAGGCATTGGACATTGGCTGCAGCTAGAGCTGGAGATTTTGACTGGGGTGTGCCGATGTTCCCGCTGGGACTTAAACCCACAATTTCCTGGCTAGAGGTAGGGGTGTAAATAGTATTTAAAAATATTCATTCAACCTCCTCTAATTATATTAGTTAAATGACTAACTGATAACACAGTAGCTCGGGCATAGGTGCTGCTGGGAACTGCTCCCAGCTCACGGAGCCCTTTCACCGAGGTGGCGGGCTGGAGGAGGCAAGCCAGACAACACAGCACTGGTGACCTAGGGAGGGAGGGAATGACCAGCTAATTGCTTAATTGATGAGTCATTATTAGGCTGCTCACTGTTTTCCTCTTAGGCTATAGGTAATGGTCCCTATCCCTCCATCCTTCTTTCAACCTCCTTCCTCCCTCCTCCTTCTGATTCCTGCTGGGGCACTGCCTGGTTTCCCTTCCTCCCCGACTCCCTGCCAGGCTGTGCTCTCCCGGAGCCAAAGGATAACTGGTAAGCTAACTGGTTATCATTACACTTATTGGTTAAACGATTAATCATTTATTTTTTTAAGCCTGATTAATCATTTAACCTTCCACATCCCTAGCTTAGAGGAAGGTCCTCTGCTCTGGGTCAGACCAGTTTCCATAGTTGGGGTCAGGAGGGAGTTTTTCCTTCTGGTCAGATTACTATAACCTGTGGCATTTTTTGCCTTCCTCTGTAATGGGGGACGTGGCCCTCTTCCTGCCTCAAGGATATCGTAACCTTTGAAACAACAGGCAATTGGGTGCTGTAGTCCCCCTGCTTTACCTGTTAGAGTGTTAGGTCTTGGGTTTTGTGTCACGGTTGACAGTGTAGTTTTGCGATGAGGTTAGACGATGGACTCTCAAGATCCCTGTCAGCCATACTTCTCTAGGATTCTATTATCCGTTTCAAAATCCTACAGAATAGGAGTCATGTCATAATTTTGGGTTGTTACCTACCTCATAATATTAAAGGATGGACCAGTCTAATGCTACACAACATATGACCCCCTAGGCAACTATTTAACGTATTAACATCAAATTTATCAAATCAGATTTTTGTTATTGAAGGAGTTTATGGAGATTGTAATTATTTCCTGGAGGAAAATTATCATCAATATTCAATTTGCAGTTGATCAAATATTTATACTTGTTCTAGTTTTTCCTTTGAGTTCAAGTTAATAGAAAACAAAAGTATTTTAGATATTAGTTCTGCAATTTCCTCCTTCAGACTTGAAAAAGCTTTGTTTCGATAGCCCTCTGGCATGGATTGTTTTTTCTGTGTTTATATAGCGTCCAACACAGCAGGGCTCCAGTTATGGCTTTTGGGCATGATCACAATATGGATATTATAAATACAGCAATTTTGCAGTTAAAGGAGGGGCAAGTATGCAAGGTTAGAAATATTAGCAGTGGGAGCAACTTACTAAATCCATCAAATAAGCCACAGAACATTGAATTGGTAGAATATAATTAAAAATAGTTAAAGCTTGAAAGATATAGAAAACTCAAGGTAATGGGAATACTAAAAATGTTGTTACTCGCTAGTGGCGTTCTTACTTTTTGTCCCTGGAGGGGAGAGTTGCTACTTTGCTCAAAGAAGCTGTATTTTTTAAAATGCATTTCTTAGGTGGAGCAAATAGAACCCACCTGCTGACTAAACTGAGACAGTAGATTAACTATAGCAGCCTTAAGCTGGATACTCTGTCAGTTGTTTACAATACTAGGGCCAGTAATTGATCATTCTTGTCTTTTTATTTATTTATTTATTTTTAAGTGAAAGTAGTAAATCACATGTTTTCACAGGAAAAAAATAGGGAAGACCATTCCTATTTGTATTTGATTCAATTTTTATTCAGATCAAAGTTGCCAAAAATGAAACTTTTGTTTTGTGATTAACACTATACTGTAATTTAATATACAACATACTCTATCATGTCTATATGTATATAATTTATTATACCAATAATGAGGACCACTTCTAAAATGAAATGCCACACAGTTGCATGTATTATCTGCTTGCAGATAGAAGGATCCTGTCAGGAAAAGGACTGCAGCATTAACTCAAGTGCTTTCTCCCTGGCCTACTCTTCTGAAGCTGCATTCTTTCTTGGCCAGCCCTCAGCCTGCTGTGGTTTCTCACAGTCTAGTCTGGAGAGTAGTTTTCCTTCTGGTGGCAAACTCCAATATAGTATTACCACGAGGGGCAATTTGTCTTCTACAAAATAAATGTAAGCCATCAAAATGTGAATGCTTTTTCATCCATTTATGCTATTTATGGGATATTTAATGATATTTCTGAGTGCCAGAAGTATTCAGACTTGTGTTGCTCTTCTACTATGTAAATGATTCTCTGCACACTTCATTCTGCGGTGGAATTTATTATGGTTTGTACAAAACAAAAAGTTCTAAAAGAAGAGCAAATAATTCTCTAGACTTTGCTTAGGGTGTCACAGAACAATGCAATGCTGGCATCTACAGCCTTGGATTAAAGGGAGATTAATTGAGACAAAAGCAGGTATTTCTCACTTAAAAACAACAACAAAAAGACAAACAAAAGCCTCTGTATTTTTTTAAAGTGTAGAAATAATTTATGATAAGATGTTGCAGAGTGTCTGCAGAATCCCCTAACAACAGCTTTACAGCATTTTAGCAACTTAGCACATAATATGTGTTCTTTCAGTAGGTTTAACATGATCACAAGGGTATGAGACAGCTTCTGGGGACAAAACTGAGCCATTCTAGTTCATACAAATTGAAACTGGCAAAACCAGCTGTCGAGTTGACATAGGTGAATTTTAATGTGTTTGAAATTTAGATTTAGATTATGGCTATGACTCACAAGTGCAGCTATATTAAGTAAAATTATAAAAATGTGATAGACTGACAGTGCTTTGCAGTAGTCAGTGTTTCACTAAGTTTGCAAGCATACTACAAAGTAGGTTGCTAAAGTACTTGATGTAGATGCTTTCTCAAAGAATAAATCTGGCACCTGTTTCTCTGGAAACTTAATGGGTGAAAACGCAGGAAAAACATTTTCTCTTCTTTCTTCAGGATTTCTTGGCCTTTTTGGGACTTCAGGTGAACATACTAAAATACACTGCAGATTGAAAGACTGTTTCTGAATAGATTAGCCTGGAAGGGGATTGTAAGAACCTACTGTGATGAAATTCACTCCTACGTTGATACCTGTAAGAGCAACAGGGAAATTCCATCCTTGGGAGAGAAAGGAGAGGGGGAAGGAAGGGGAACATTGATGCATTTAGCCCTGGAACGACTTGTATATGAGAAGATGGAAAAAAACCCAAACCTCAGTGGGTTAAAAATCAGTCTTTTGTCAGAGGCACCTGCACAGGGGAACGAGACTAAGGTTTTTCTCCAAGATCAGCACAAAAACCATGTCCTGTGTTAACTGTGGCTTGGATGCCATGGACAGGAGTGCATCCCTTGTGGCAGAAGGATGCCACTTTGTTCTGAACTCATGAAGTAGGGTTTGTCTACCCTTCCTGCTGATGGCTGCGAGACAGCTGAATGGTGGCATAGAAATGCTCCAGTTTTCCTTTTGATAATGTGGTGTTAGGATATTCGGTGTTAAGTGTCTTGCCCTCCGTGGAATCTGGCATCCCTAGTGGACAGACTGGCCTGTCTGTTCTCTGACCTCCTCTACCTCCTATCTCTTGTCTGCCATGATTTAATGTTAAATATATAAAGGGGAGGCTACGTATGAAAGCCAGAGTGGCCTACTGCCTAGGGCCTTTTATCTCTTACTTTCTCACCCCATGGATGTACTCCCTCTTTAAGAGGGCCTTAGTTGCCTTCATGGCTAGAACTGTGACCTCCGCTGTTCCCATAGCCATGCTCATGCCTCGCAGATGACTCTCAGTGGTCCCTTTAATAGCAGACCTCTATGTCCAAGTCAACACCGGGCCACAAAACAGTTGTCTGGGCTTCTCCCTGCTGGGCTTCAGCCCAGGTCCACTGCCTTGGACCCTAGCTTCCTGGGTCTCAGCCCCAGTAATAGAGAATGCTGCTCAGGTAGCCTGCCTGTGGCTGCTTCTGCCCCTGCAGCCACAACCTGGTCCTCCTGTTTTAAGCATTGTCAAAACATAAACATAAACAAACCACTTTCCAATTAAATGTCACCCCACTTGGGCTCGTTGCCTCACCACACATGCTAAGCTTCCCTTGGTTTTCCACTTGCAGCCCTAGTTAGGCATCAGCCAGTCCATCTCCTGCAGCCCTCCATCAGGAGATCCCTCCCTCTTGCCTGCAAGCTCACACTTACCTGCTAGCTCTGAGGCCCTGGTTTTATGTGCCCCAGAGCTTCACCCCTTCCTGTCAGCTGGCTCTCCAGCCCCCCACATGGGTTTCTGGTTTGCACGATAATCTGCCTGCCCTACTTTTCCCTCTCCCCACCCCTACTTTCTGCTGTAGTTTAGCTCAGCTGCTTCTACTTGGTCCGACAAAGTTTAGCTGTTCTTGCCTTGCACCCTCCCCAGGTTCTTAACAGGCACCAGCCTTAGGGTCTGTGTTGTTGCTGGGCCTGGCTGTTACAGCCATTGGCACTTTCAGGCACAAACTTCCTGCTCCCCCTCTGATTGAAGTTAATAGGGTTGGAGTTCTCCATTACAAGGAGCTTTGTTACCTTATGTTCTTATCAAGAGCCATACCTTGGCTGGCCTACATAAAACTCTTTCCAACCCCAAATGGAGCACTTTTTCCCTTGTGAAGGAAGTAAACACTTTTTTTGTATTGTGGTAGTACTTGGTAGTGCAGGGTTTCATTTTATTAGAAACTTTATGGACACAGAGGTTACAGAAAAGATGGTCTATGTCCACAAAAGTTTACAAACTAAGGTAAGGTTCTGTGTTTGTTGGGAGGGCTGAGAGAGCACTGCTAGTCATAAACATGGTCTGTATGTATTTTGAACCTCTCCTTAGGGGCACGAAATATGATCATGTTGCCTGCATTAATGATTAGAATATTTCCAGGGGCCCACAGGCTTGCAAGCCTGAGTACATTTTCTATATTGTAAGTGAGGGTCATGTTTAGACAATTATTGCTATCCATCTGTTGTATGGATTGACAGAGAGCGTTCTCTAATTCTGATACAGAAGACACTTAAGAAATATACATCCTGGGGTACATCCTTGACAAACCCTTTATGGTAGTTGGGCTACCAATAGCTTTAACTACAGTAGTGGAGCTGTTGTCACCTTCATTACATTTAAGCATGCATTTGTTAAAATCAGTTAGGCTTGGACTGCAGGAAAAAGCCATAACTCAAAGTCACTTGTGTGACCTGTCCCGTGAAAGATTTTGCAAAACAGTCCGTAAAAGCTTCAGATTTATGTTCCGAGTCACACCATCACTGGAAGAATTACCATACTCATAATTATTGTCCAGCAGCAAAGGTTAGTCCTTTAAAAATAACTGTATGAGAAGAAACGTGGTTATACTTTGAAAGGCAACTTAATTGTTCATTGGGAATTAATGGATAAAGTTGTTTTTGACTTATTGACCTTTATTATGTGGCAAATCTCAACAAGCACCTCATCACATTCTGGTTTGTGTGGTATTCTGTATAATATACAAAAAACATTTTCCAAGATGTGATAGAGAACAGTTAAAACTTACAAGTATAGGATCTGAAAACTGTTAAGGAATATGACGACAAACTAGCAGTGGTTATAATATTCAAATACTATGAAACTAATTTTGTACCTTCTATTCTTCTTGCTCTTGACTGTAAACTTCCTACTTTATCTTTTATTTGGACCAGATGTGAAAATAGGACATCCCTCTTACTAACTTATTTTTATTGCAAAATAGTGCAAGTTTAATACTGTCATCTCTTTGTCATACAGATAGTTATTCAGTGTGACTATGCAGCGGCATAAAACAAACTATTCTGAGCTTTCCAACTGAAGTCAAGAGAATCAACTGTGTAGAAATTACAAATAACCATAGTATATTCTGTGGGGAGAGTCTGTAGAGAAACTCTGTTAATCCCCCTAGAATAATGAGCAAAATTTGCTGTGTCCTTGACATTATTTCTAGTATATTGAATGAGACCAATCATTACGCTTACAATATGATTTCTAGATCTGTTTTACTCTTCAGGCAGTGAAGACAATGGTAAGTGGGTCTATCCCAAAAGAACTAGTAACAGCATTTTCACTTAGCAACATTGTTTGCCATTATTATTGAGTGAGAAAGTGAATTGTATTAGCGTTCAAGGCCCATGAATTAAGTCAAGTATTTCAGGTATAAAACAAAAAGCTTAGAAAAGGAAATGTATACTTCATGTGTTCTAGTTAATCTGTACAAACAGCTTTATAATTTCATTCCCATGATGAAATTATATTTTACAGTGAGTGAAGTTGCTAGTTGTATGAGTTGCTAACATGACTCTCTGACAGTTATCTGATACTAACAATTTTAGATTTTTAAAATGTGGCCAGGTGATTAAAGAATTTAATATATTTAGAAGAGACTTCAGTGCAATTATTCATTAATTCTTCTCTTGTCAAATACCTTTTTATATATTAGCCATTCAGTTTTGGCTAAACAAAGTGGCCAGACATGTCAGTGTTTAAAATCATAGGAAATCCTGTGAGTTTTGAGTAGTGTATTGAAATCTTTGCTTCATCCTATTATCCAAAAATAGGATTATGAATCTTAAAACAAGTAAATCTCTCTGTTCACTAATGAATGACAATTGGCAGCTTTGTTTTATTCTTTCTTAACTTGCATTCACTGAAAAACAAAATAGCAGCAGAAGAAAGAAACTTTTTTAATTCCTTGCAGTAAAATTCAGCCTTGCAATGAGAATAATTGTTTATTTACAGAGAACTTTTCAAAAAGTCTGTCAGAGTAAATGTTCAGGGAAATCTACCTATGTTTACCCAACATTTCCATCTCTATGATAATTTTCAAGCTGAAAGTGTCAAATAGAATGAACTGAAATAGAATAACTGACAAGTGCTCTAGGATGCTGGGGCTGGATTCTGATGAGGCCTCAGTGCTTGTAGATTTGGAGACTTAGTTTATTTTAGTTTCCACTTATTTCAGTATAAAGCTATTAATTCCGTGTTATTGCAACTACAGGGAGAGCTCCTCATGTGGTCTGCCTGGCTATAGCACTCCAGTCATGTTGTCAGAGGACTTTGATGCTAGTACAAAGAGAAAAATGAGGTTGAGACATGTCATAGACTGATGAATGGAGCCACAGCTAGTAACAGTAGAGAGAATGAAGTACCAGAAGTAGTATTTGGGTTGAGGAAAACTGAGATGGATCACTCATTTTTGGTTAAAATATGATTTATAAACAAGACAGAACAGCAGAAATTAGACAAGTGCCAGGATTTATTTGAACTTGAATCAGTACTATTATAAAGTTATTTCCTGCGGATAGTTTTGGGCTCCCAGGACCTGAAAGGCATCATTTAGGAATCCTATTCCCTATTCATACCCACTTTCTTTCTGTATCATTTTGCCTAGGTTTGTCCAAAGCTTTTCAGGTTTCCCATGACCTTTTTCACAGTCCCTGCTCTTCTAGAAGTGGACTTGGGCCTGACTTGATGGCATCTTTCCTTTAGCTCTGCTCACAATCCATTCTTGAACAAGGGCAAACAGTGCTACTCCCCTGACCTGAGAGAAGACAGTCTCACTGCTTCTGCTGCAGTAGCAGTACCCATACTTTTTTCCATGCAGGAAAAACTTTCCGCAGAGAAATAAAAATTTGGGACAATGGGAGACCTACAAGATCCCTCCAGCAGGTGGTTTTAAAAAAAAGAAAAAGAAATACAGAATTCCCAGCACTATGATAAAAACTACTCATGTCTATACTTAAAACCCAATTACGGGGACAGTAGCAGATTCTCAAAAGGTAAATGCAGCTTTACATTAAGCGTAGTATAGACTAAGAGGATTGGATAAGGAGAGAGACTAGGTTCAAGAGCCAAGAGACTTGGATGTGGAAGTGGCCTGGATTTATTTCAAGTCAGAAGTACATGTACTGTCTGGAGCATGCAAGAGGAAAAGATTGGTAGGGAAAAGCTAAAGGCCTGCATGGATGAACAAGAACTAGAAACAGGCAATTCTGTATAAGCAGATCTACAAGCAGTGGAAAATGGGTGTACTTGATAAGGAGGACTATCTTTTTATGGTCAGAGAATACAGGAATAAGATAACTAAAAAAGACCAGACTTAGTTTAGTTTGGCTTTGTGAAGAATATGAAAGCTAATAGCCAAAGCATCTTTGGTCATATAAGTAAAACAGAGAACCATGAAGGAAGATGTGGAGTTACTATATAATAGAGGTGAGGGGGAATCAAGGGCACCTGGGCCTGGCTCAGGAACTGAACAAATCATTTTGCCTTAGTCTGTTATAAGCTGGAAGAGGTAACTGGGGACACTGATGGTGCACCACATGGCAGTGGGGACATTAATATAGATAT